GCCCCAGACCCCCTTTAAATTTGGGGGAGAGCATAATTTTAAGTTTTCTATCAAAAATTTTAAAATTTTGGGTGTCGTTATGATCGGGAAAAGATTCTCTATTTTTTTCTAAGAGAAAATAATTTTTTTTTTTTTTAAATTTGGGCCCCGACCCTGAGAACGATTTTTGGGGGGAGAGGGCCTGTCGACCCTAAAAGGGGTTTAATTGAGCTATGGAGAAAGAAATTTGGAAATAAGTAATACATTTTTTTATGAAAAAGGGATAAATAAAAAAAAGGTTGATTAGCACGTAAAGAAAGTTTTTTGTTGATTATGTTTTGGTGGATAAAAGGTTGATGGGTAGGGTCCAGGATGTAATGTTTATAGGGGGCAACTGATATTCGGACTTATTTTGTTGTAGCTACAGTTAGAGTAAGAGGTAGATGGGAAAGAGGAAGGTGGCAACAACAAATAAAGGGAGGGAAGTGTATAAACTAAGGGAGGGAAAAATTTTGGGTGAGATAAAGCGACTATTGGGGAGAAAGGTGGGGGTATGCAAAAATGATGTGGGGGGGGTTTTAAGAGGGGTTTGGAAAAGTTTTAAAAATGCAGTATTAGAATTTTGGGGCGAATTTGTGGTTTTAGGGGGGGGGGGCGGAGGAAAGAGGAGGACTGGTGGGAAAGAGAAGTAAAGGGTGTGATAAAAAAGAAAAAGGTAGCTTATGAGGGTTTTTTCAAAGCAGAAGTGTTTTAAAAAAGAGCAGAGTATATGGAGAGTAAAAGAAAGGGAAGAGAGTGGTAGAGAGTGCAAAAGGAGAGCAGATGATTTGAGTGGGGGGGCACTGTCAAAAAATTTTTTAATGAAAATAAAAAAAATTTTTTGGAGGGAGTTAAAAATTTAAAGGGAAACCGGGGAAAAGTAGGGGTTTTGTCAGAAAAAAAAACAGAGTAGGGGAATTAGTGGGGAGGGGGGAAAGGGGGGTTTTGGTAGATGGCGAGAATTTTTTGGGGAAATTTTTAAAATGTTGAGGAAAAAAGGGGAGGGGGTTTTAATTTTTCATGCACGGGCCAGGGAGGTATCCATCTTTTAGGAGGGGAAGAAGAGAAAAAATGAAAGGGTGTGGGGGAGGTACGTGAGGCATTATGTAGAATAAAAGGGGGGTAAAAAGCAGCTGGAATGAGGGGATCGACAGAAATAAAAAAAAGCGGGGGGGGATATAGTTTTGGAAGGGGGTTGGTACTTTTTTTTTTTAATAAATGTAGAAAAGGGGGAAGGTACCTAGGGGGGGGCAGAGAGCATGTAATTTCCCTTTATAAAAAAGGGGAAAGGGGGGAAAAAAGAGATTGAAAAAATTTTTTAAAAGGGGAAATAATTTTTTACTGAGTATACCAGGAAAAGTTTTTACAAGGGTTTAATTGAAAAAATTGGGGGGTAAAAACAGAATGTAGGTTTGGGGAAAATGAGCAGGAGGTTTCAAGTGGGTAGGGGAGGGTTGTAAAATCAAGTGTTTACATTAAAGGGGATATATGTGAACAGTATTTAGATAAAGGTGGGGAATTTTTTTTTTGCATTTATGGATTTAGAAAAGGCATAGAAAGAGTGGATAAAAGAAGAAATGGGGCCAGATGTTGCAAGTATAGGGAAATAGGTGGTAGTTACTAAATGGGTGTAAAGAGTTTTTTATGAGGATAGGGGAGGCTCAGGTTAGGGTGTGTAGAAGAGGGGAAAATACTTCCTGGGAAAAATAGGTTTTTAAAACAGGGAAAGTGTAATGTCACCATGGTTGTTTTTTAAAATATTTAAAAGATGGGGTTTTTTAAAGAAGTAAAAAGCTAGGGGTTTTTGGGGAGGGGGTGGGGTTAAATTAAAGGGGGAAACCCAAAAAAAAATGGGAATTTTACACAGTTTTCTTTTTATGATGATAAAAAGTGCTTATGGGAGAAATTTTAAAGGGAAAAAATTTCAAAGGTTTGTGGGTGGTTTTTTAGAATTTTTGTTTAAAGGTAAAAGTTTTAAAAATGAACATAGAAAAAAAGTAAGGGGATGAGGGTTTTCAAATTAATTTTGATTTTAAAAAAAAATTGGATATCAAATTGGGGGGGGAGTAAAGGGGGAAAATGAAAAGTTTTCAGATACTTTGGGGGTTGACGTGTTTGGGGGATGGATTTTTAAGGATGAGGTTTTTAAACATAGAATGTTTTAGGGAAAAAAAGGGGGGTTTGGGGCGTTAGGTATTTGTGGAGTCAAAAAACGTTTCTTGGAGGCAAAGAAGGGGGAAAGTAAAGAAAAATATAGTATTTCCAACACTCTTATATGGGTGTGAAGTTGGGTGGGAAATGCACAGCGAGGAGATGGTTGGGGGGGCAGTGGGGATGGCCCGTCTAAGGGCCCAAAGTTGATGTTTAAATTTTTATTTCAAAAATTCGGAAATTGGAAAAATTTGGAAAAAGGTTTTGGGAGTTAATAAAAGCATTAGTCAGGGGGGAGAAGGGGGGGGGGTTGTTGGGGTGGTTTTGGTTTTTTTAGAGAGAATGGATCAAAGTTTGAATGAATGGAAAACATATAAACTATAGGGGGGAAGGAAAAAGGGGGGGTTGGGGGCGTTTCCCCGAAAAAGGGTTTGGGAAAAAGGGGGGAAAGGAGGTTTGGGGGCGAGGGGGTTGGACTTCCAGCAAGCCCTGCATGAGCCCTGTTAGATAGGGTTTAATGGAGGGCGAATGATTTCTTGGGGGTTTGACGATCTGTTGGAGTTGTGAAAAAGGGGAATATTTAGTGAAGGGGAAATTTAGGGAAAACCGGTTATTTTTATATAGTTGGACTTTATCCTGGGAAATGGGAATTTCAATGCCTGCACTTTAAAAGGGGGGGTTTGGGTATTTGGGAGTTTGGGGGGGTATGTTGTGTATCTTTATACTTTTATGCTTCTAAAAAATGTTTTTATTTGAGCACCCCTGCAAAAGCGGGGATAATGTGTAAGTGTGGGAAAGTGGTTTTTAATTTATTTTTGAAAGTTTTTTTCCCTTTTTTTTTTTTGGGGACCCTGCCCCAGTGGGAGGGGGGGCGGCCAACTTGTTGGGAAAAAAAAAAAAAATGCCCTGTGTTAAAATGTGAAATAAGTGTAAAATAGAAAATAGCAAGATATTTCCAGTTTATCCTGCCCTGTTTGGAAGAAAAAAAAAAAAAAAAAAAAAAAGCAATCCCCCAAACATGTAAAAAAAATTCAAACATTTGTTTTACACTCACTTGGCAGGACGTAAATAAACTCCCAGGGTTTTCCTGTTTTAAACCCGCCCCTTTTCCCAACAAAATTTTTTTTTTTCAACAAATCGGGTGTCTCCCACTGGGGGAAGGGTTTAAACCCAAAAAAAGAAAAAATCCCCAAAAAAAAAAAATACTTTTATCACATTCAACACTTTCACCTCACTTTAAAACATAATCAGTTTTTGCAGAGGTTTCCCAGAATACAACACTTAGAAAACATATATGTAAAAAGATACACAACTACTGTAACCATGTAAAAGGAGTACTAATAGAGATGTGTAGAATAAAACCCCTTGAGAAGGGATTGGGATGGGTTTAAGCATACTTAGAGAAAATCTGTATCAAATCATTTTCCAAATTTTTAAAGATTGGGGTACCCCAAAAAATTTTTTCAAAGAGGGGAAGAAGTTTGGGAACAAAACTAGTCAGATTTTCCAAAAAACTCCAGATGAGTGAGTTAACCCTTTCAGGGGCCCCCGGCCCCAAAACTGGAGTCAAAGCCCGTGTCCAAGAATTTTTAAAAAAAAAAAATTTTTTTTTTTTGTTTTTTTATGAAATCGGGAGAAATCTTTTTGTGAAGGGTTTAAAAAAACAAAAAGTACGAAATTTGGTGGGAAAATTTACGAAAATTATGCTCTCGCGAATTTTGATGTGTCAGCGATATTTACGAATCGCCGATTTTGCTGACTTTGACTCCCATTTTAGGCCAATTACATTATTCCAATCAACCAAATTCTTAGCTATTTCACTAGTATTACTTCTATTCTATCGATTGAGCACAAGAAATCGCCAAGTCAACTGTTTCAACTACAAAATAAAGTGATCGGAAATTGTTAATTTGGCCAATTTAACACAAAGTTCAAAATATTCCAATTTCAAAATAGGGTCCAGAATAAACAATGTAGGCATTCCTGGCACTAAACTAACATTTCCTCTGTTCAGTAGTTATGTTTTGAGGCTTTACAAATAAATTCCATTTTTATTTTTTATTCACATAATGAATTTTTATTCACACCAAAAAATAGAAGATTTACTGTTATGCAATACTGTAATAATTGTATAAATATCACCATATTTGTGAATGTATATTAGACCCACCAGCTGACGTGTATTAGACGTGTGAGGTCGTTTGTTTACTCTTGAATATCGCAAAAATTTAACATTTCCGCTACTTTGAGCTCAGTTTCAAGCCATTTCCAGTGCTAAAACCAATCAAAATCATCTCTATTTCTGTAATATGTCTTCCATTCTATCAAATGAGACCAAGAAATCGCAAATACAACTATAAAAAACATACGAAAAAACACTGCAAAGTTGCTGTTTTAATCGAAAAATCATGATTTCAGTTTTTTCTCTCATTATACACAGTGTGCTGCAGGATCTGTTTTATGTGGTGTACACATACCACATAGATGTATTCTCTCATATCTAGGCCCAAATGTACCACTCACAGTTTATCAGAGTGAGCTGAGCTCATGGCGTAGATCTACGGTTTGGACACTCACCGTAAAGCCGTAGATCTACGGGACGGACCCTGAAAGGGTTAATGATAGTTTAGGTCACAAACTGTGGGCAGCAGCAGCCTGGTTGATCAAGCTATTAGGCTGTAAAGTCTGGCCTTAGGCTAGTGTGAGTAAAAGAACTCTTGTAACTAGTCATTGGTATATATGTCTTCTTTTGTCGCTGCATTTCTGATATACAGTATAATATGTACTCATATTTTTTTCGGTTTTGAGTTTAACATTCAATTTTTTTCCAGGTGAAGAAGGGGAGAAACGTAAGAAAAAACCTGACCCAGGAAATCGGGAGGATGGTGAACTGAGTGATGAGGAGGAAGACGATTCTTTGCTGCGGCAGGAACCCAAAACTGTGTGCAGGTGAGTTTGTATAGTTACCAGATAATGACTTTAAACAGGGCAGTCAATCATCCTTGAAATATCCTTGGAAAAAAATTAAATATCCTTGAACTTCTGAAAAAATATGATATCCCTTAACTTTTGAAAAAGTAAACTGTTCATGAAATCTTCTTGCTCTAATTTATTTGTTTAACCATTAATAATGACCATTGATTGTATCTGTAAAATGCTTTCCTAGACAGAAAAGAAGCCTGGCAGAATGAATATTTCACTTTGCATTTAAATAACATTCAACTTATTAACTTACTAGATGGGGATTGTTTGATCATGTCTCCTCCAGAAGGACAAGTGGTTGCATATTAAGAAACACAACAGTTAACTCTTTAAACATGAGGAATCTAATGTTTATGCTTAATGTAAATTGTGCAAATCTGTAATAACTTGAGTAGTATTAGGTTAGGGGCTATTGAAAGTTATAGTAAAGGTAAGAAACAAATTGTAGTATGTTCTGACTTGTGATGTTCCACTTCTATGACATTGACACTTAGGCATTATTAAGTGATTACAAATTAGGATTTACTCCTCTGATGCATGAAGCTACTGCTGATGTACTGAATTATAAATATTTTTTCCTTAGCTAAGGTAGCTTTTTTTTTTTTTTACCGTATGCATCCCACTTGACAAAGTTATTTTTAACGCCTGATGTTTTCCCTCTAAGGAAGGGAACTCGAAAGAAAACATATTAACCATAATTCATTCAATAACTGTCTTGTCAGAAGTGCACAGACATCACTGTTCTACTGATCCTCCAAACTGTAACATCCCCACACCTCCAGAATGCAGGCACTGTACTTCCCACCTTCACACCTCCTCCAGAGTGTAGGCACTGTACTTCCCACCTCAGCACCTCCTCCAGAGTGCAGGCACTGTACTTCCCACCTCAACACCTCCTCCAGAGTGCAGGCACTGTACTTCCCACCTCCACACCTCTTCCAGAGTGCAGGCACTGTACTTCCCACTTCTTAATCATTACCTTGCTCACTCTCCAACACCACTCACTCCAAACAGACATGCTTACAAAAGCCTGCTGGATGCTCAAGTTCCTAGCAGTCAAAATCTTCCTCACCCTTTCCCTCTAACAATTTAAAAGTGATGTATGGAAGACAGAGATTAAAAGAGTACAAAACGAAGAGGAAATGAAAGAATGGGTAAGCTTTTGTCAGAAAATTGTACTGAGGATAAGAAATAGCTTTGGAAAGAGATTACTAAGTTGAGAAGCAAATGGAGTAGGGGAGCAAATGGACTTGACAGCTAAGAAGGAAAGAGGGTACTGTAATGATGAGGAAATGTTTTGAGTTTTTAGTTGATGATGAAAGGGAGGCATTGGGAAGAGTGGAATGAGATCTGATAGGAGTAAAGCAGAGCTAGAGGTGAGTGTGGGGCAATGCATGGCTGTGAGTAAAATGAAAGGAGTAAAGCTTGGGAGAGAGGGGTTTTAAGAGGGTTTTTTAAAGCGGGTGGGGATACTTTTTTGGGGGTTTGCTGGTGCTTTGTTCAGTTATGCAAATGTTTTTGGGCCAGTTTAAAAATTTTTTTTTTTTACAGATTCTTCAAAAAAAAGGACAGTGCACAGGGGGCACAAACTGCAGGTTTTTACACCCAGGTGTATCAGACAAAGGCAACTATAACATGTTTGCTCCTTCCAAACCCCAAGCTGCAAATGACAAGGAGGAGGAGAGTGAGAGGGGAAGGGTGAGGAATACACCAACAATGTTACTAATATTTTTAAGAAAAAATATTCTGTGTACCATCATTAAACTTATATTCTGCATTCTTATTTTGCTCCAAATTTGTCCAATATTAAGTTTATAAGTGTAAAGCCCAGTTCCTTAATGCAGCTGCACATAAAAGCAGCAGTGTTAAGTGATACTCATAAACACTAACAATGTTCGCATAGACAAAATTTCAACATGAACTTTTAAAGGGGAAAACACAATAAAGCACATGATTGCAAAATATGTAAAAAATACCCCAAATGAAAATAATAAGACCCGAGCACTTTCTTGTGCTTCATCTTCAGAGAAGTGTGTGTGTAAGCAATAAAAAACCCCGGGTTTATTGGGATAGATTGGTATAGAAAATTCACATATTGAGAAAAAGACATATGGGCCACAGGTAAATCTAAGAATATAGCACTGGAGATTTACCTCTAGAGATGACTTTAAAACCTCTCTGCTTCTACTGTCTCCCTGTTAGTTATATTCTGTATTGTGATAAGTCTGTTGTGTAGGTAAATGAGACAAAATGTTGCACTTGTCTTTTTTATCTAACTTACTTTGGAAAATGAAAAGGCCTTCTGGAAATTATTTATGTTTCTGAATATGATTTTGGGGTGAAAAAGATTGGGGTTAAAGTTGGGGTGAGGGAAAACATAATAGAAAGTTTTTCTTATTTTTTGGGACCTGTTAAAGTAATGTTGATTGGGCCTGTAATCAGTCTACCATTTTGGGTTTCATCCCGGAGGAGGCCCAGTTTTTTTTTTTTTTTTTTTTTTTTTTTCAAATCGGTCTCTCCCACCGAGGGGGGTGACCCCAAAAAAAAAAAAAAGAAAAAACCTCAAAAGAAAAAACTTTCATCATCATTCAAAAACTTTCCCACACTCCACTTACACTGCTTTTTCAGAGGGGCTCAGAAAACAACAGTTTGAGATATAGTATAAAGATAAAAAACAAAACCCCCCAAACTGCCAATATCCCAAACCCCTCCTTTAAAGTGAGGCTTGTTTTCCCATTTCCCGGGCTCAGTTGACTATATGAAAAAAACCGGTTTCCCTGAATCCTTTCCCAAAATTACCCTGCTCACACTCCAAAAGATCGTCAGGGCCCAAGTATCTTTTTTCCATTCACTCCTTCTAAACACCTGCCGCTTGTGGAATCCAAGCCCCTCACCACAAAAAACCCCTTTACCCCCCTTTCCAAACCCTCGAGGACGACCCCCACCCCTCTTTCCTTCCCCCATAGATTTATATGCTTTCCATGTCATTCTACTTTGATCCATTCTCCTAAATGCCAAACCACCTCAACACCCCTCTTCTGCCCTCTGACTATGCTTTTTTTAATCCCCCAAAACCCTTTCCTAATTTCCACACTTGAATTTTTTGCTAATATTACAAACCCCACATTGCCCTTAGACAGGACATCTTACTGCCTCCAACCGTCTCTGCGCTGCATTTTCCACCCCCGCTTCCCAAACCTATAAGAGTGTTGGTACACTATACTTTAACATTTCCCTTTTTTGCCTCCATAGATAACATTTTTGATCCACTTTACCTCAACGCCCCCTCACCCTTTTTTCCCTCATCAATTCTTTATAAACCTCTCCTTCAAAAATCCATCCGCGACACTTCAATGCCAAGTTTTAAAAACTCCAGGGTTATTTATCTAAAAAAAATTTGAAAAATCATTCAAGAAAAAACAAGGGCACCGTATTTTTTATTTAAGCAGGTTTTTGATAATACCTCAAATGCTAATCGGATAAAAAAAAAATAAGGAGGCATAGAGGTGCTGAGGGTAGGGGCTTAAATCTCCAACATTTTTGTGTCAGCATGTTTGACGTGAGTGGAAGAAAGTGGTTTTATGACGAGTGCTGTTGGAGCGGGAAAGGTAACTTTAATGAAGGGCTGGAAACGGGTTTTAACCCTTTCAGGGTCCAAAGACCCTCTCAGTGACTTGTTCTGGGTCCCCCAAAAATTTCAGAAAAAAAAAAGTTTTTTTTTTCTTGTAAAAAAGATAGAAATTTTTTCCCCGATCATAATGACACCAAAAGTATAAAATTTGAGGGAAAATTACGAATTATGCTTCGCAAGTTAGGGGTCTCGACGATGTCTAGCATGGGCGATTTTGCCCATTTTTGAGCCTTTTTTCGGCCCAAATTCCAATGAAATAGTCGACAAAAACAAAAATATTCGCTAGAACTCCTTTTTTCATCGAATGAGTACAAAAAAAACCCCCAAATTTTACCTTTTTCAATATCCAATACAGTGGTCAGAATTTAGAAATTTTTTGCAAATTTCACACAAATTTAAAAAGATCCCAAATTTTCCAAATAGGGGTCCGAATAAAAAGGGGAAAGACATTCCTGGCCTAAAAAAACTTTTCTCTGTTCATTAGTCACATCCCCGGCCCCTTTTCTTTTCTTTTCTTTTCATTTTGAATTTTTATTTCACAAAAAATAGAAATTTTTTATGTTTTTCAGACTCTGCATTAGTGTAGAAATGGTTAAATAATATTGGCGCATTTTTGAAAGAAATTAGACTCACCAGTTGACGTGTTTTTGGATGCTTAGCGTTTTGTTTACTTTTGAATTTTGGGTTTAAAAATAAACATTTCTGCTATTTGAGCCAATTTCAAGGTATTTTTCATTGAAAAAAAAATAAAAATCATCTCAATTTTGAATATGTTTTCCCATTCTAACAATGAGACTAGGAAAAACTAGACATAACAAAAATTTCCCATAGAAAATATGTTAAAAGTCGCTGTTTTACCCAAAAAACAGGGGTATATTTTTTTTTTCTCATTACGCACAGGGGGCTGCAGGATTTTTTTTTTATACTGCGCACACTGCCACATGACCCTTTTCTTTCATAGTAGGTCTACCAGTTTTCTCTCCTGTTTTTGAAGGGCACTAAAATTTTATAAGTATTTGTACGTCATGGCCCCTGGTGCTAAGCCGTATAGTAGGCGAAAAAACCCTGAAAGGGTTTTTAACCAGAATTGGTGCTGGGGGGGGAAAAACAGTTACAGTTCAGGGGCCCTTGAGGAATTTTGAAAAAAAGGGGCGACAGTGAAAGTGTTTTTTTTAAAGGGTTACCATACTGGTAGGAGATGTGCTGTGTTAAAAAAATTTAAATTAAAAATTAAAGTTAACTATAACTTTTGATGATAGATTTTGGTTTGAAAGAAAAAATGCAAATGATGATAAAAGGTAAAATGCTCTATGAGGTTGCATTAGAAAGATGCTTGTAGTAATCGTGTTTGCGCTTTCCAGAATAAATTTAACTATTGAGCCTGTTTGATGTAATGAAAAATAAAAACCTTGCAAGATAAACCATAAAAATTGAAAATTGTACGGAAAGCCTGGAGGAGAGGAGAGCAAGTGGAATTGAGAAATGGATGAAAATTTTTGGGGTTGATAAAAGGGAAAGTTAAAAAAAAATGGAGGGAAAGTAAAAGGGAACCAGATAAAGCATAAAATTAGAGAAATTTAAATTTTGAAATATAGGGGAAAAAAAAAGGTTTTACAAGTCACCATTTACACAGAACTGTCAATGAAAAAATTTTCAAAAAATAGCACTGACCCCGTTGAAAAGCATTTAGTTCCCAGGAGCTTCCACACTTTTAAAATTTGGCACTTCCCAAAAAAAATTAAAATTTTTACAGACACTGATCTAGGGTTACAATCTTTTCAAATTTTTTTGAAAAAATCATTTTAATCATTTTTTTTTCACTTGTTTATTTACTAAATATTCATACTTTTTTGTACATTTTATTTTTTAAAATGTAGAGAGAGTTCACATTAATTTTTTTGGGTTGGGCACTAATACAGATTTTAATTTTTCAATTTGTCTTAAGGTTGCATTAAAAAAAAAATTACAAAGGTATTTTGGGTTGTTCTTTGTATGGATGTGTGAAGAAAAAATTTCTTTTTTTGGGAAAAAGTTTTTTTAAAAAAATTGCGAGTGGGGGGAAGTTGTGAGGCATAGGAAAAAAGAAAGGGGGTAAGGCGCCGGGTTGATGGGATAAAGTGGAAATGTTTAAAAAACAGGTGGGATATAGTTTTGGAGTGGTTTTTCAATTTTTAATAAAGTATGGAAGAGGGTAAGGTACCTAGGGATTGGCAGAGAGCATGCTAGTTCCCTTTGTATAAAAGGAAAGGAGACAAAAGGAGTGCAAAAAAATAGGGGGAAAAAGCTGTTGAGTATACCTGGTAAAGTGTATGGGGATTATTATTGAAAGAATTAAGGTTTAAAACGGGAATAGGGGTAGCAGATGACAAGGGGGGCTTTAGGGGAAAGGGAGGGGGTGTGTGGAAACCAGGTGTTTACGTGAAAAAAATAATGAAAAAGTATTTTTGATAAGGCAAAGGGGTCTTTGTGGCATTTATGGATTTGGAAAAGGCGTATGACAGGGTGGATAGGGGGCAATGTGGAAAGTTGCGGGGGTATGGGTGTAGGAGGGAGGTTATGAAAACAGGGGGAGGTTTTTCGAGGATAGTGAGGCCATTAGAGTATGTAGGGAAAAAGGGGATTATTTCCCGTAAAAGTAGGGGCCCTTTGACAAAGGGTGTGTGATGTCACCGTGGTTGTTTTTTTTTATTAATGGGGGGGTTAAAGAAAATAAAAAGCGAGGGGCTGGAAAAGGTGGGAGTTAAAAGTAAAGAATCCACCCTAAAATGGGAGTTTTTCACGTTGCTCTTTGCTATGACACTGGCTTTTGGGGGTTTGAAGAGAAGTTGCAGAGATTGGGGGGATTTAATTTGGGGAGGGGCCCAAAAGAAGAAAAATTAAAAATGAATACAGGAAAGGTAAGGTTATGAGGATAAAAAAAAGATTAGGTGATGAAAGATTGGATATCAGATTGAGGGAGAGAGTATGGAGGAGGTGAATGTATTCAGATATTTGGAGTGGACGTGTCAGCGGTGGGTCTATGAAAGATGAGGGTGAATCATAGAATTGATGAGGGGAAAAAGGGTGA